TTGTTTTGACATTATGGCATGTCTCCTCCATCAGACCTGAAATAAAAGTAAGAAACTGAATTTTTAGTTCGATTATTATCATTAAATCATGCTTATTCTCATTCCATAAGCAAAATACACTAATCTTACAACCATCACTTTTAAAACATTTGTTGTATAATAACTATAAAATCATATTATCGTGCCTCCTCGTTAATTTTAGAACATTAAGGGCCAAATACCAAACTTGTCTGAGGTTGGTGGGCCAAAGCTAAATAAACCAAACTGTATTACATTATTGGCTAAAGCTATAGGTGACCTTTTTGTTTTCACAAGCTTTGGAGACGTAACATAAATTCTGCTTTTTAATAAAAGGTCACCTATAGCTTTCAACATGAGGCTGTGTTAAAAATGACATCAACGTGTTTAAAGTGCACTGCAAAGGGAGCACAATTGTAAACATGAAGATTGCTAAAACTGAACTTTGAAATTAGTTTGAAAGCAAATTACACCTAAGAGAGATGATCTTAACGCTTTTGTTTTTTTTTTTAAATAATTTCAACTTTGAATGTTAGAATGTTCTAAATGAATAGGGCATAGGGGGGATAACTGGGAATAGAACACAGCCAGGAACTATGTTTCTAACTACAGCTTCAGAGGTGTAGTTGCAAGCATAGAAGTTTGCAATGCAGTTAGCGAATGTTCGTTAGACAGATGGATTTGGGAAATGCCAAATCAGCAAACTATACACTGAAAAAAATTATTCAAAGATTATTCTTTGGATTTACCCATTTTATTTATATTAAGTGGTTGTAAACAATATATTTGGGCAGAATTTAAACAAACAAATTTAGTTGAACATTATTAAATTAAATTTTTTTGTTTAAATTCAACACAAATAAATTGTTTGCAACAGTTCTGCATGCAACACTTTTTTCAGAGTATGTTTGTAACGACGCAACTTGCGACTTTGATTGGCTAACGATGGTTTTCGGAAACCCAGCCCAGCTCGATCATTCATGTAAAAAAAAAAGTCTCCCGTTTGTTATTGTGTATGATCATTTGTTTCACGTGATTCACGCTTCTGAATTTCTGTTAAGGGAGCATATGCATATTGATGCCACCTGATGGTCACGGTGCATTGTGGGACTTTTCAGTGCGCGAATAGTTTAATGCATTGGAAGATTTTTTAGATTGAGACTGCGCTGAATATACCTGACTCCCTGATCAGTACACTTATTACTTAACAAGGGTGCTGATTGAGATATACAGCCAGCCAGTGCTTCCCACACATAGGGCTCTATTTTGACGGTCCATGCGCAGAGCGCAAAACGCAGGGCGCAAATGCTTTCAGGGCGTGTCAGGATGCGCTTTTGCTAATTTAAGGACGGGAAATCTGCCTTGCGCCGCAGCGCATGTTCTAAAAGGGTTGAGTTTATTTTCTTAATGAGTTATAGGTGTGTTTTAAGAATAAACCAATTAGAATCTCATCTCCCATTCCCTTTAAGAGTCAGCTGCGTTGCGCCAAGAGCGCATTCACTATTTACAGGACGCAAAGTAAGTCTAAGTGGAAAAAAATTAGCATTTCACAAGCAAACAGTTCACAGTGTTTTTAACAGAAAACTGTTAAACAGAGCATCTACTGCGTGAGAATGAGAGATAATGGATCTACTTTCACTTTTGCTCGTGGATAGGGAAACCTTTACGCACAGACATCAATTAGTCTATAAATAAATACTTTTATTTGTTAAGCGCAAATATTTGTTTCAAAACTATTTCTAAATTCAGTTCTAATTTCCAGCAAACGAATAAATGAATAATAATAACAAAATGTGCTCAAAAACCTGAGTTATATCCTAAAACACATGCTGTGCCCCATATGGTCTTAAACCTGACAGGTGGGCAAATCTAAGCTTGTTTTTAATAAAACAAATATAAATATGGATATAATAAATAATACTGCTAATAATAATAACATTATACAAAAGCAAATTGTTATGAATGAACTGAAAAAGCCTCCCGAGATGAAGAAGACATAAAAGCAGTGATTTTTTATATTTATAGGCTAGAAAATAATATGTTTTGTAATATTTTAATCCTTTATATTTATATCCTATATCTATTCTTATTATATCCTATATATATCCTTAATATTTACATTTATTTCATATGTATAGATATTTGCCTGTTGCTCTCTTGTGTGTATTAAGCAGTGCGTAAGCGAGGCGCAACTCTGCGCTGGAGTTTAGACCGGGTTAGTTTTGGTCTAATGAAAAATCTATTATAGATTCTCAAAATCCGCCTCAGAACGCCTTCCTTTTTAGACCAGAACACCTATGGGCGCACAAATGAGCGCTAATGCATTTGCTATTTAAACAGCGTAGCGAAACGCCTCAAAACGACTCTTGCGCAAAGCTGAAACTACCAAAAGACTATTGCGCCACGCCTTGCGCCACACTGCGCCGAGTGTATGATAGGGCCCAAGGGCTTTACTTGGGGCGGGCTACCCAGATATATTAACAGCTGCCCAAGTATATTAAGTGACACTTTTTTTCCACTGTGTTTAACATATTTTTACATGTTTTTGTATCCACCCAAAATCCAAAATAACAATAGCATAATTTTGTATCCACATTGAAAATAAACCGTGTATAACAGTGTCATAATAAAACAAATCAATAATTATTGTTAAAAATGATATTATGTTTTTCGCATATAGTTAACTATTCATGTGATGTGGGTAAATGGTGAGTTTTAATCCAGCAACCACCGCAAGTATATTTCAAACCTGTGGGAACACCGACAGCTTACAGAATGAATGACAGTGTTGTTGTTTTTTTTAAAGTAAATGATGACAGACTTTTTATTTAATCTTTCCCTTTAACATACTAGTTTGTCAAATAAAAGCTAGTATGTTAAAGGGAAAGTATAAATTAAATTAAAATTCTGTCATCATTTACTCATTCACTTATTACAAACCTGAGATTCTTTCCTCTGTTAAAGACAAAAGATGTTATTTTAAAAAATGTTGTAAACCTGTAACCACTGACTTCAACAGTATTTGTTTTTCCTACTATGGAGGTCAATGGTTACCGGTTTGTAACACCTTTCAACATAACTCCTTTTGTGTTCAGCAGAAAAAAAAAGTTTGAAACAGCTTGAGAGTAAATAGTGAGCACATTTTTATTTATAACTCTTTCTTTAACTTTGGATATCTCTTAAACATTTGCAAACATTCTATTGTGTTTTGTGCTTTAGAGTCAAAACTGAATAAACAGCACACTTTAGTGAACTTTCCAGACTAATCACAAAAAACTTAAAAAAGGAATGTGCTGCTAACTAAAATATGACACCCAACACAGAAAAAATACATTTAAAAATACACATAATATAATCGACACAGCAGGAATAAGGGGTAATAATGAAGGAAAGCATCATACCTGTTTAAATCTGAAACAGACCCAAAATATGAAGAATAATGGAGAGAAGTCAAGAGATGCAGTCGGATCTTTCCAGTCTGACCTGGTGTGTGAGAGTTGTTCATTTTAAAACATGCGCACACACACACACACATGCAGAATGAATTGTTGCTCTGAGGTTAAAGGACTCGTAGTGGACAGATAATGTGTGCATTCTCTTAGAGGGGGAGAGAAAGAATTTCAGACACTCTTATGCATTAAGGGACAGTTCACCCAAAAGTTCAACATTTACTCACACTAAAGTGGTTATAAACCTTTATGAGTTTCCTTATTCTGTTGAACACAAAAAAAGATATTTTGAAGAAAGCTGAAAACTTACCTTGTAGGAAAAGTCAAAATGGTTACAGATTTCCAACTTTCTTTAAAATATCTTCTTCATGTTTAACGGGAAAAAAAGAAAGTCATGGAGGTTTTAAACAAGTAAAGGATGTGAACAACTCTTTCACGCAGGACTATGTACTTCAGAACTCTGTTTTCCCTTAATAATAAGAATCTTCATTTCAAAGCTGCATGATGTGTTCACTTGTGTTGTCTCCGAATAATATTTAAATTTGTTTGATAATTGGAAATATTGCGACAAACATGCAAAAAAATAATCAATGAAGGGCCAAACACTTTTTCGCACCATTGTATATATAAAGGGTTCATACGGTCATGGAAAACCTGGAAAAGTCATGGAATTTTGACATGGCATTTTCCAGGCCTGGAAAAGTTTTGGAAAAATAGAAAAACCCACAAAGTTTTAAAAAGTCATGAAAAACAGATATCTGTATACTTTTTTTAACAAGTGTTTTTATTAGTTTTATATTTTCAATAATTACCAAACAACACAACAATAATAAAAATACAAGGAATAAGCAAAGAAAAAATAATGGTAATAATAATTAAATATCTGTATACTTGAATATAGGTTATTTACTTCTATTCTGTCCTTGGCCAATCACATACTCTCACATTAGTGTGGTGTAAGCATCTAAATCAATTTTTACAAATATGAGCTGAAACTAAATTGTTGCATGTTTTACAATATATATATATATATATATATATATATATATATATATATATATATATATATATATACACACATTACAATATGCTGTAATAAATTTAAACATGTACTGTTCTTCTTTTGCCACGCATAAGTAGACACTGCATGAAACATTAGGTCATAAAAATGTACTTGGAAGTCTTGGAAAAATCATGGAGTCATGAAATTTCCATAGTAAAAATGTGTATGAACCCTGTAAATATTTGAGAAAATGCCTCATACATACATTACTGGTCAAATAAATAAATACATTTATACATATAAATAATATTATTTTATTCATCAAGGTGGCATTTATTAAATGTGAAAAAAGAGTGAAATACTAAATATTTATTTATTACGTATTGTATGTAGTTTCATATAAACTTATTACTCCAGTCATTATTGCTTTTATTACTATTACCATTAATAATAATAATAATAATAATAATAGCAATAACAATTAATATTAGAGTGATTTCTGAAGGATCATGTATAACTCTGAAGACTGGAGTATTGAAGCTGAAAAATTCATCTTTAAATCACTGGAATAAATGATTCAATTAAATGATAAATTACTTTTAAACCGTTACTTTATAGTACAATAACATTTCATAATTTTACAGTTTGTACTGTATTTGTGATGAAATACATGCAGTCTTGGTGAGCAGGAGAAGCTTTAAGCATTTAAAAATCATACCGACCCCAAGCTTTTGACCGGTGATGTGTATAAATAAATGCTTGATTTTTAAAAAATATATTGATCCAGTCAGGGGCATTTATATTTAATTCATTTATTTTTGTTCATGTTTTTTCTTTACAGTTGTCTTATTTTTAAAGAGGTGGTCTGCTACGATATCATATTTTAAACTTTAGTTGATGTGTAACGTAACTGTGAACATAAACAGCATCTCTGAATGTAAGACGCTCATAGTTCTATGCAATTGGATACATTGACTTTTACAGAGTAAGCTTAACAAAGCCTACAGCAAATGAATTTGGGGACTACAAAAATATATACCTGGGCTTCTGAGATCAAAAGGGCTTCAGGTTATGCACTGTAATGTAGCAGAGAAAGCTAAAATGGCGTCCGTCTCTGCTATTTCCACAGAGCATCTTCTGTTTCTGTATTTGCGATTCCAAAAGACACGACACAAAGACAGAAGTGCTTACTGTTTAATTTTCATTATTTTCCAGAGAATTATAAAAAAAAGATATAGCTAGCATTTGACAAAGGAGAACTACAAGAATGTCTCTTAGTTCAGTGCTGGATTTGGCTAAAACTCCTCCAACCGATGAAGCTGTGATAGCCGATCCGCGAATCACAGCCCATCATGTTAGTTGACCAATCAGAGCCTCTTGATGGCGGGCCTTTCAAAGGAACTAGGAAATATGACAGTCATTTTCATGTTAGCTGAGTAGCTGTATATAATCAAAGTAAGATATCTGAAAAAATAACAGGATTTTCTACAAATGAACCATGAGCACACATTGCTTTACAACTTATAAACACAACCAACCCTAAAAATACACAGTGTGGACCACCCATTTAACAGATTCTTTGCTTGTTAGATTGTGTATGCGTTTCTTATTCATCTTTCTGTTTCCCATTCATTCACCGCGCCGCCTGTGTTTCCCATAATCATTATTTTGATTTGGTATTTTGGATGGATGTTTTGGATGTTGTTAATGTTTGTGAAATATTTTATAAAAACTGTAAAAAGAAACAAAAGTCACTCTCGTGTAAATCTCTTGCTACACAATCCATCCATTTGGATGTGGATCCATTTTATAGTCTAGTGTGGATCTTCTCATGTGTTTTCAGGATTCCTAACCGACTGACTCTCTTGTTGCAGTGTGAACACATGTACGGTTTCTCTCCAGTGTGGATCCTCTCATGTCTTTTGAGGTTTCCTAACCGACTGAATCTCTTGTCGCAGTGTAAACACATGTACGGTTTCTCTCCAGTGTGAATCCTCTGGTGCCGTTTCAGATCTCCAGCTGTAATAAAAGTCTTCTCACACTCAAAGCACATAAACTCTCTCACACCAGTGTGGATCTTCTGATGTGCTTTTAAATCTGACTGACGTGTAAATCTCTTTCCACACAAAGAACACGAATAAGGTTTCTCCTTTGTGTGAACTCTAAGATGAACCTTAAGAATTGAAGCCCTCAAATATATATTGTTGCATTGATCACATTTGTGCGTTTTCTCTCCAGTGTGGATCAACATGTGTTGATTAAGGTGTGATGAACGTCTAAAATTCGTCCCGCACTGATCACATGTGAACGGTTTCTCTCCAGTGTGGATCATCATGTGATTCCTGAGACTCTGTTTGCAGCTCAGACTCTTTCCACACTGAGTGCAGGTCAAACATTTCTCATCTTTTCTCTTCAGTGAGACAGTTTTCTGTCTTGTTTTGACATTACAGCCTGTCTCCTCCATCAGACCTGAAATAAAAGAAAACCGCATTTTAAATCAATTATCATTAAATCTTGATCAATTTCAGGGTATCTTATGAGTGTCATTCAGGTATCAGTATGATCAGTAGGTCGTGTGCATGAATTCAGGCACTGATAAGTTTGGTTCACTACACATTGAGACACACTGAGCATGACTAGAGACTGTCTACCTTGTACATCATAAAAACTGATATTTAAAAACAACAGCAGAGCTAATAATTTATAAAAACAGTTTTTAAGAGAACATTATAGCTAAATAATTTGATTGTGTCATATAGCGATAGCATTTCAACCATTAAACAATTATAAATGTATTTTTCCAAACCTATATAGTTGTGTTTATTCGGTTCAATCATGTTAAAAAGAGTGTAGAAAGCATCTTTCGTTTGGTATTTCGTCACGTGATTCTCTTGGAAATTCACTATAACCCTACCTAAAGCCCAGCTCACACCATGCAATTTTAATTAACTTGTCATCAGACTGTAAGATCTCTGTCATCGTTTACTCATTCACGTTTCACAAAACAGTTTTAGTTTCCTCTGTTAAACACTGAAGTAGTTATTTTCAAAAATGTTGTAAACCTGTAACCACTGACTTCAACAGTGTTTGTTTTTCCTACTGTGGAGGTCAATGGTTACCGCTTTCTAACATTTTTCAAAATAACTCCTTTTGTGTTCAGCAGAAAAAAGAAACTTATAAAAGTTTGAAACGGTTTGAGAGTAAATAGCGAACACATTTTCATTTTTAAGTTCTTTCTATAGCTTTGGACGTCTCTTAAACATTTGCAAACATACTATAGTGTTTTGTGCTTTATAGAGTCAGAAATGAACATACAGCACACTTAAGTAAACTTTCCACACTAACCACAAACTAACTTGAAAAGGAATGTGCTGCTAACTAAAATATGACACACAACACAGAAAATGAACATACACTTGAATATCGAGACAGCAGGAATATGAGCCAATAATGAAGGAAAGCAACATACCTGTTTAACACTGAAACAGACCCAAAATATGAAGAATAAAGGCAAGAAGTCAAGAGATGCAGTCGGATCTTTTCAGTCTGACCTGGTGTGTGAGAGTTGTTCATCTTAAAACATTCACACACACACACACACACAGAATGAATTGTTGCTTTGAGGTTAAAGGGCTCGTAGTGGACACATAATGTGTGCAGACTCTCAGAGCGGGAGAGAAAGAATTTCAGCTTACTTCAGCTTAAAGGGACAGTTCACCCCAAAAATTCAACATTTGCTCACACTAAAGTGGTTATAAACCTTTATGAGTTACTTTATTCTGTTGAACATTAAAGAAAATAATTGGAAGAAAGCTGAAAACTTACCTTGTAGGAAAAGTCAAAATGGTAACAGATTTCCAACTTTCTTTAAAATATCTTCTTCATGTTTAACAGGAAAAAAAGAAAGTCATGGAGGTTTTAAACAAGTAAAGGATGTGAACAACTCTTTCACGCAGGACTATGTACTTCAGTACTCTGTTTTCCCTTAATAATAAGAATCTTCATTTCAAAACTGCATGATGTGTTCACTTGTGTTATCTTTGACCAGTGGTGTAAAGTAACTAATTACAGATACTCAAGTTACTGTAATTAATCACTTTTTCTCAGGAATTGTAATGTACTAAGTTGTTTTAAAAATGTGGGCTTTTACCTTCCCTCGAGTACATTTTTATCGATACTTTTACTTCACTACTTTCCTTCAACCTGCAGTCACTACTTTATTATTACTTGTCTAAGGGTATTAGAAAAATAAAATCAGTCATGTGACTCCTGTCCAATCAAATCGCACAGAAAAAGTAAATCACATCAAACTGAACTACCTCAAGACGTAGGCACGTTATAAAGCAGCAAACCACTTGGAAGCATTAAAAGTGTCTAAGAAGATGTTGAAAATCTTTACTTGCAATGATCGAGAGACTGTTGAGACTGCAAATCACTGATGAGAAGATGAAGGATGTTTACTTTATGATGATAGTCTTAATGCCATAATTACTGACACCCCTGTGAATTCAAATGAGCAGTCTAAAGCTTAGAGTTTCCTTCAACAATAACTTAATACAGTACAGAATGTTACGTTTACACACAAATTGCACAAATTACATGTAAACGCATCAGCCTTTCACATCTTAATACTCAATACTCTTGAGTACTTAAAAGGGCTACTTTATGCTCATACTTTGAGTAATATTTACAACAGATACTTTTACTCGCACTACATTTTGAGCAAGTAAAGGTACTTTTACTTAAGTATGATTTTTCAGTACTCTTTCAACCACTTTCTTTGACTAATATTTAAAGGGTCATGCAACACCAAAACACATTGAGCTGTTGACAGTCGTATATGTGTCCCACGCTGCTAAAACACTATTAGAACACATATATTTCACTAAAAGGTGAAAATTGGTTGTTTTTGCGTTATTTCAAACAAATTAAATCTCCCAGTTTGAAAATAAATTTTGAAGTTGCGTCACTGCGATTAGATCCTTGTGTAATTTCCAACGTGTAGACTTTATTTCTGTACTGGTGGCTACAACGTGACATCTTTGAGCTTTCAGCATTAGTTCATGAGAAAGACTTGGTTCGAACCAATCAGCGCGCTCTATTGTGTATGCGGTGCAACTTCATTAATATGCATGTTATAGCTAGGCCCACACGGAATCTGCGCACACAGAAGTTTTAGCCTATCATTAATTCTGTTTATTTACTTGAGTAAATGTGTGTAATATCTATATTTATTCAGTTTTTTTAATTAATTACAGTAATTTTATTTACTAATATGATAATGTTTATCAGATTTATGTACAATGCAGTTTGTACAGTAATATTTTCTGTCTTTTAGTAGAGATATTATGTGAGAGACTTGCTTTGTTTACCAAATAAAGTGAATATAATTGGATTTGCATTTTAAACATTAAATAAAAGTTTAAAAGGTATTAGATTTTATTTCATATATTAAGGTTTTAGTTATGATACTCCCAAAATAATCCCGCAGAAATCTGCAGACTTTTACCAAAATTCTCCGCAGAAATAGCAAAAAATGTCCGAAGATTCCGTCTGGGCCTGGTTATAGCTTCGAAGACTGTTTTACCTGTTACAGTGTTCAGACGGCAGAGAGAGGCCACGTTGTGTTGCCAACCGCAACTAAAACGAGTGGAGGAAGAAGAATTGTTTGGAGAGATGGGTTGTTAGTTTTGCATTTATAAATGTGCTGATACGAAGGTTTTGTTTCTATTTCCTGCAATGAGAGCGCAGCTAAACTCGCATGTGTGGATTACAGTGGTCTGCTAACATACGACATAAATATGTTTGTAAGAAACCTGTTTTACCCGAAAGCTTTTCTCATATGGAAATGGTGAAATCCGTATTTGCCGTTCATCTCCTTTTAAAAAAAGATGCGGATCCAGTTGTTGTTGATTGTTCTCTCTCTATAGATTTAGTAAGTGTGTGATTAGTGCTCTTGTTTATGTTTATATAGATGGCAAAGTTAGTTAGTATGGTTAGCAGTACTCTTTCAGTTTTTAAAGACAAACCTTAATCAAAATGATTTAGTTACTATGTTTACAGTAATATCACTACAATATTATGGACTAAAAGATCCGCTGTAAATGCTGCTCTACAAATGTAAACTATTACCGTAGTGTAGGATTTTCACTGCATTTTGTGACAGGATAGTCTATACATACACAATTGTTTGATGCTATTCTCTGCATATATCGAGAAATGCGGAGGTTTTTTTTTCTCCCTTAAGGCGTACGATATCAAATTCCATTAAAACAACACTCCACCAGCAGTTCCTCGCATCTAATATCTCGTTTGTCACGGGGGCATGCATGGAATGTTCCTGAATGAAAGTGAAAGTGCCAAACTGCTGTTAAAGTCGACAAATTAAGAATGAAACACTTGAAATCAATAAAACTCGATGATGTTAATCGAATTATCGGATCATGACAGGAACATTCAAAAAGCTAATCATGTAAACACCTTCATATTATTGTCTCTCTGAGATTAAGGCAAATAATTTGATGACTGATGTCTATGTAAACTTGGTCACTGTCTATCTGTGTTTGTGTTTGTTTTGCCTCTGTGAAAATCAGCTGTAGTTCACATACTGAAACTCCCCTTTTTATGCAAACCCTTCCCTCTTTCGACACTCCCACCTAATCACACCTGGACTCACCCACTTTCCTGACTTTTTTTCTAACTAGAGGTGAAAACACCCTGCTAAGACAGGTCCTTTAAATTTGTTTGATGATCGGAAATATTGTGACAATCATGCAGAAAAAAAATCAATGAGGGGCCAAACACTTTTTTTCCACACCATTGTATATTTATTTGAGAAAATGGCTCACACACATTTCACAAATGCTTGATTTTTTTAAATATATTGATCCAGTCAGGGGCATTTATGTTTAGTTTATTTAATTTTGCTTACTTTTTTCTTTACATTGTTTACTTTCTTTACACTTGTCCTATTTTCAACAGATTCTTTGCTTGTTACATTGTGTATGCATTTCTTATTCGTCTTTGTGCTTCCCATCATCATAATCATTTTGATTTGGTATTTTGGATCGATGTTGTTAATGTTTGTGGAATATTTCATAAAAGCTGTAAAAAAAAAAATACTCAAGTAAATCTTCTGCCATACAATGAACATGAAGAAGACTTCATTTTGTATGAATTCTATGATGGTTCTTCAGCTCTGAAGCCCTAAATATGATTTGCAGCATTGATCACATGTTTCTCTCTGTGGATCCCTTTTAGAGTCTAGTGTGGATCTTCTCATGTCTTTTCAGTTTTTCTGACCAACTGAACCTCTTGTTGCAGTGTGAACACATGTACGGTTTCTCTCCAGTGTGAATCCTCTGGTGCAGTTTCAGTTCCCCAGCTGTAATAAATGTCTTCTTACACTCAAAGCACATAAACTCTCTCACACCAGTGTGGATCTTCTGATGTGCTTTTAAACTTTGCTGACATTTAAATCTCTTTCCACACAATGAACATGAATAAGGTCTCTCCTTTGTGTGAACTCTAAGATGGATCTTCAGATTTGAAGCCCTCAAAAATGTTTTGCTGCATTGATCACATTTGTGTGTTTTCTCTCCAGTGTGGATCAACATGTGTAGATTAAGATCTGATGAACATCTGAAACTCGTCCCGCATTGAACACATGTGAATGGTTTCTCGCCAGTATGGATCTTCATGTGTTTATTTAGGGCTGATGAACATCTGAAACTCTTCCCGCACTGAACACATGTGAACGGTTTCTCTCCAGTGTGAATCCTCATGTGTCGATTAAGGTGTAATGAACATCTGAAACTTTTCCCGCATTGATCACATGCGTAAGGTTTCTCTCCAGTGTGGATCCTCTCATGTGTTTTCAGGTTTCCTAACACACTGAATCTCTTGTTGCAGTGTGAACACATGTACGGTTTCTCTCCAGTGTGAATCCTCTGATGCTGTTTCAGTTCTCCAGCTGTAATAAAAGTCTTCTCACACTCAAAGCACATATACTCTCTCACACCAGTGTGGATCTTCTGATGTGTTTTTAAACCTGATTGACATTTAAATTTCTTTCCACACAATGAACAGGAATAAGGTTTCTCCTTTGTGTGAACTGTAAGATGCCTCTTCAGCTCTGGAGCACTCAAAAATGTTTTGCTGCATTGATCACATTTGTGTGTTTTCTCTCCAGTGTGGATCAACATGTGTTTATTAAGGTTTGATGATTGTCTGAAACTCGTCCCGCATTGAACACATGTGAACGGTTTCTCGCCAGTGTGGATCTTCATGTGTTTATTTAGGTCTGATGAACATCTGAAACTCTTCCCGCACTGAACACATGTGAACGGTTTCTCTCCAGTGTGACTCATCATGTGTCGATTAAGGTGTGATAAACATCTGAAACTTTTCCCGCATTGATCACATGTGTAAGGTTTCTCTCCAGTGTGGTTACTCTGATGCTGTTTCAGTTGTTCAGCTTTAATAAAAGTCTTCTTACACTCAGAGCACACATACTCTCTCACACCAATGTGGATCTTCTGATGTTTTTTTAAACCTGACTGACATTTAAATCTCTTTCCACACAATGAACATGAATAAGGTTTCTCCTTTGTGTGAACTCTAAGATGGCTCTTCAGCTCTGATGCCCTCAAAAATGTTTTGCTGCATTGATCACATTTGTGTGTTTTCTCTCCAGTGTGGATCAACATGTGTTGATTAAGGGCTGATGAATGTCTGAAACTCGTCCCGCACTGAGCACATGTGAACGGTTTCTCTCCAGTGTGGATCTTCATGTGTTTATTTAGGGCTGATGAACATCTGAAACTCTTCCCGCATTGATTACATCTGTACGGTTTCTCTCCAGTGTGGATCCTCTGATGACATTTCAGATGTTCAGCTTTAATAAAAGTCTTCTTACACTCAAAGCACATAAACTCTCTCACACCAGTGTGGATCTTCTGATGTTTTTTTAAACTTTGCTGACATTTAAATCTCTTTCCACACAATGAACATGAATAAGGTTTCTCCTTTGTGTGCACTTTAAGATGGTTCTTGAGCTCTTGAGCTAACAAAAATGTTTTGCTGCATTGATCACATTCATGTGTTTTCTCTCCAGTGTGGATCAACATGTGTCGATTAAGGTGTGATGATTGTCTGAAACTCGTCCCGCACTGAACACATGTGAACGGTTTCTCTCTAGTGTGGATCAACATGTGTAGATTAAGGTATGAGGAATGTCTGAAATTCTTCCCGCACTGAACACATGTGAATGGTTTCTCTCCGGTGTGAATCCTCATATGAACTCTGAGACTCTTTTTGCAGCTCAGACTCTTTCCACACTGAGTGCAGGTCAAAAATTTCTCATCTTTTCTCTTCGGTGAGTGGGTTTTCTTTCTTGTTTTGACATTACGGCGTGTCTCCTCCATCAGACCTGAAGTAAAAAAAAATCAATTTTTATATCAATATTTTAAATCAATTATCATTAAATCATGATCATTTTCAGGGTATCTTTAGAGTGTCATTCAGGTTGTTCGTAAGTATGATCAGTAGGTCGTGTGCATGAATTCAAGTACTGTTAAGGGCACTCATGAGCTTGGTTCACTACACATTGAGACACACTGAGCAGGACAAGAGATCGTTCTCGTTGTACATTATAAAGACTCTCATTTACAAACAATAGCAGAGCTAATAATTTATAAAAACAGTTTTTAAGAAAACATTATAGCTAAATAATTTGATTGTGTCATATAGCGATAACACTTTAACCATTAAACAATTATAAATGTATTTTTCCAAACCTATATAGCTGTGTTTATTCGGTTCAATCATGTTAAAAAGAGTGTAGAAAGCATCTTTCGTTTGGTATTACGTTTGATGATTTGAGTCACGTGATTCTCTTAGAAATTGACTATAACCCTACCTAAAGCCCAGCTCACACCATGCAATTTTAATTAATCATATATTGTAGCTTGTCGTCAGACTTAGGGATGCTCAAAATAATCGATTAACCGTTAACCGAAAGGATGCGTTTGTAACCGATTATTGTTATCAGTTAAACGATTAAAATCATTATTTTGTATATTTTTAGTTTGGCTGCATAAGATGCCGATTGAATGCGCCTTTGCGTTAAGAGGGGCATCTTTTGCACGCGGCTCATCCCAGAGCAGCAGTTTGTGTTGTCAAGACAACTAGAGAACTTTTAAAGTGCTTGGTTTCCGCTACATTCATTCTTCCATGGCGGGAACCAAAATGCATCCCGCCACGGCTACATTACCCTTTCAAAACATTCAGTTATTGTTGTTGTTGTTGTTTTTAATAGCGGATTTTAATCGCATCAACACGTATTAAAAGGTAAGTGAATTATAACAGCGCAAACGTTTTTGTAAACATATAGTGCTGTGCGCTATCTGTTTAATCCTTTGGGGTTACGTGCTGACTGACTGACTGACAGGTGCGCGATGTGTGAAGCCAGCAAACACGCAGAAGCTTTCAGTTAAGATGAACACAGTTTCTATAGTTATACTTTATTTATTGATAAATTATGACTCTGCAATCACTCTATCTTGTTGGAGTTTATAGCCGTTTCGCTTTACTTCAGGACGCATTAACACCGCTCTGAAGGTCTAATCACTGTTTAAAGTTATCCAGAGCTGTATGAATGTACAAATCTTGAATATGTGGCTACAGACACATTTGCCAAAGAAGCAAAATGGAAGGAGAATATTGCTGTTTGAAACAGAAGTGTTGATGCCAAAAAAAGCGTCGATGTTGACCTGGATCTGCGTCATAAACGCAACAAATAGGCTTTACCTTTTATTTTACAGCTTATAAAGCATGTATGCACATTAATGCAATATCATATTTAAACAACACAACTGTTTACAAAAAGTCAACATATGCGCGCGTTGTTGTCTTTTCATCACGCAGCGCGCACACTTAACCGCGAGGGAGATAAAGGAAACCATATAGCAAGACATAATCTTTAAAATAATTATTTCTATAAAAATGTAAAAAGGTTTTGTGATTATAATAATAATAGCGGGGAATTAAATAAATGCATATTCTCCGTGGAGCGGGCAATTTGAGGAAGTCTGCTAATTTATTTGATGGACAAAAATATGATTGGAAAAAAACAGCCTATGACGGTTATTAAGAATAATCAGTCATTGTTTTCGATTTGTAATATAAATTAATTATTTACGTGAAAAATAATTTAGGGCAGTCCTATTTATTTTATTCATTTTATTTAGTTTATTCTGGTCTTCTGTGCTAAACACTGCAGGTGCGTGAAAATGCTTTGTTGTTGTGTTCTATTATTAATATGCTAGCATATAAAAATAAATCAGTATTTTAAAATGCAATATTTAATGTGTCAGACAGAAAATAGACACGTCAATTTGTTTAATATAAAATTAATAGTAATCTGACCAGTTAACCGTTAATAACCGGTTAATGAGCGGCGGTTGTCGGTTAGCAAAATTAACCGAAATGAGCATCCCTAGTCAGACTGTAAGATCTCTGTCATCGTTTACTCATTCACGTTTCACAAAACAGTTTTAGTTTCCTCTGTTAAACACTGAAGTAGTTATTTTCAAAAATGTTGTAAACCTGTAACCACTGACTTCAATAGTGTTTGTTTTTCCTACTGTGGAGGTCAATGGTTACCGCTTTCTAACATTTTTCAAAATAACTCCTTTTGTGTTCAGCAGAAAAAAGAAACTTATAAAAGTTTGAAACAGTTTGAGAGTGAATAGCGAACACATTTTCATTTTTAAGCTCTTTCTATAGCTTTGGACGTCTCTTAAACATTTGCAAACATACTATAGTGTTTCGTGCTTTATAGAGTCAGAAATGAACATACAGCACACTTAAGTACAATTTCCAGACTAACCACAAACTAACTTGAAAAGGAATGTGCTGCTAACTAAAATATGACACACAACACAGAAAATGAAAATACACTTGAATATCGAGACAGCAGGAGTATGAGCTAATAAAGAAGGAACGCAACATACCTGTTTAACTCTGAAACAGACCCAAAATATGAAGAATAAAGGCGAGAAGTCAAGAGATGCAGTCGGATCTTTCCAGTCTGACCTGGTGTGTGTGAGTTGTTCATCTTAAAACATTCACGCACATACAGACACAGAGAAAGAATTGTTGCTTCAAAGGTTAAATGGCACATAAAGATAAGGGCTATAGACTCAGAGAGGGAGTGAGAAAGAATTTCAGACAATCTTCAGCTTAAAGGGACAGTTCACCCAAAGTTCACTCAAAAATGTAACATTTACTCAAAAGCTGGAAACCTGTAACCACTTACATAGTTGGAAAAGTCAAAATAGTTGCAGATTTCCAACTTTCTTTAAAATATCTTCTTCATGTTTAACAGAAAAAAGAAAGTCATAGAAGTTTTGAACCAAGCGGCAACCTCTCACTCTCCCTTGTGAAGCCAGTATGGAGGTAACTAAAACTGCAATTCATCAACTTGCCTTTAGGGGCTGACTGCAGAAAATTCAGACGTTTTCTGACTGCAATGGTAAATTGGCCAATTTTAAAGCTGATAAAAACATGCTTACAGCCTGGTACAAAACATGCTTTTAGTGTATATAATATTACCCTTCATGACGACTGTGAGGGCTGAATTTCTTTTATAACTCATCCGTTTCCGGATGCAGTAGGTGATCTGCCAAAATGCTAACCGCTTAGCATATTACCTTTGGACGGCGGGGAGGGAATGCGATTCAAAGCCACCCCCCCCGAAAACGCGAGCACGCACCACATCACAACAGCAGACAACCCACTAGTTCATGTCATTCGCCAGTTAGTGCCAGCGCCGTGCAGGAATTACATTTATTACTTAGCCACACTTACATGCTATTTCAGAGCGAATATTCAGAGTAGCATGGTAAACAGTATAGGAAGGCTGTCATTGTTTAAAAATGACCCAATGTGAATATAAAAGCAACTTCAGCTCAGTAAAGCAGGCTAGGCGCTATTTACTAATGTTTTGTTGTTAAACTAAATATAAATCTACATTATAGATGCTGTCAAAGGACCTTATGAAACTGAGAATAATCACATCAGTGTTAGCTAGCACAAGCATAACATAAGCTTAGCCTGACTAAAATAGTTTAAAAACAGAACATTACCTGTCTAACAGTAATACTTCAGCCATGGTGTCGTCCTTCCTCCAGCGTGCTAAACTAACTCCAATACCGATTCAGGTTTTTAAAAGTTTCAATGCAGCATTTGATTTCTCCCGGTCCGTCTCGTGACCGCACGGCCGCTTTAAGGGCGAATTATACTCGTGCCTGGCTTTACAGTAATCGGCCCGAGCTCGTCTGTCCTTCTATATCTGAAGCAGGGCTGCACAATATTGGAAAAATATGACAATGCAGCATTTTGTTTTTCTATAATTTACAGTTGAAGTCAGAACTATTCGCCCCCCTTTAATTTTTTTCTTTTTTAAATATTTCCCAATTGATGTTTACCAGAGCAAGGAAAACTTCACAGTATGTCTGATAATATTTTTTTCTTCTGGAGGGTCTTCTTGGGGGTCATTAAATCATAAAAAGGGGTAAACTATGTGTCCTTTAAGTTAAGCTTTAAAAAAAATTGTAGTAATAAACACTCAGGTGAGGTTCAAACACGGGTCAGCGGTGTCGTAACGCAACATGCTGACCACTGGACCACAATGGTGCTGTTACAACAGGAAGAAAAAATAAATATTGCAGTGATACCTGCAAGGCTGCAAATAATGAATAAAGAGAGTGAGGCTATGGTTAACTAAATAAATAAATGAAAAGAGTGCGACTGCTGAGAGTGCAAGCAGCTAGGAACACCGGACCTCGCTGCCAAAAAACAGACCGGCCCACTGGGAATTCTCCCAGTTCTCCCGATTAGCCAATCCGGGCCTGATAAAGGGTATGGCAAACTTGAGGAAAATTGGATTTGTCCTGGGGAGAGACTGAGATGGGTCTGCTCCAGGCTGTTTCTGCTTTTTTGGAAAAAAAATCCAATAAAGTATATTCTTCTGATAGTCATAACCTTCAGACTGAGTTTGATTCATTTAGAGAAAAGCTGAAAACCACTACACCTTCTGTCTCGCTACAATCCAACCTGCTCTATAAGATCTTAAAACGCAGGGCTTCTGGTAGTACCTAGAATAGCAAAGTCGAGTAAAGGAGGTCGAGCCTTCTCATTTATGGCTCCTAAACTCTGGAATAGCCTTCCTGATAACGTTCGAGGTTCAGACACACTTTTCCAATTAAAAACTAGATTAAAGACCTATCTGTTTAATAAAGCATACACTCAATGCATCACTTAGTGGGTTTCCACACAGGTTTCTCACCTGAGCAGCTGCTCATGGAGGAGTGGAGAGCATGAGACTGATTCCTGTGACGCTCCAGGGACAGACGAGTCTTCGCTGAGGCCCAGCTTCCAGCCTCCGCCGCTGAGACTGCAGCTCTGCACAAGACGTTTAACCAGCGGAGAAATTAAAATGGTCGTGCCCAAATGAGCCTGGTTTCTCTCAAGGTTTTTTTTCTTCACTTTCGCCAACTGGTGAAGTTTTTTCAGTTTTTTGAAAAAAAAAAAACTTTGAAAACTTTTTCTTTGAACTTTTTCGCCAACCGCTGTCACATCTAGCTTGCATGGTTTGAGATCTAGAGCTACACATCGATGGATTTGCTCTTCAGCGTTTGGACTCTCAGTAGTGATTTTTAAACCACACTGAACTGAGCTAAACTGAACTGAACTTAAACACTAAAAATCTGAACTGCACTGTTCCAATTTAGTATGATTTATTATGTGAAGCTGCTTTGTCGCAATCTACATTGTAAATTTGTAAAAGCGCTATACACATAAAGCTGAATTGAATTGAATATTGTTCAGCCCGTATGAAGTCATTTAGTATGAGGTGTGTTCGACTTCATGCAGCGCTGCGCAGATCGATCGAAATCTGTCTTAAAGCGGTGCATTCTGGTTAGAAATCTTGTCCGGATTGATGCTGCGCCGACGCCACGTGACTGTCACATGTGGCATCAAAGTACCGCGACAGCGCTCCGAGATCAGATGGCAAACTCAGACCGTGCAGCTTCTGAAGAGCGACTGCAGGAGCTTTGATGACGACACCGATATTACACGATTGGCCGAGTTCACCACATGACAACAAACACGTGTATTTCGAGTTTATAATTGGACAAATTCCGATTCAAAAGTTTCAAAACAAACAATTTACTTTTCACACCCTCTCTATCCTGTACACATCTTGCTTTTTAAAAGACTACAAATATTTTACTGCAGTATCATCTTTTGTTAAATAATCTGGTTATAAAGGTTAGCTTGTTTGCACAGGTTTATTTTTTTAACTTTTTTATACAGACTATTTACTGCATTCATCTCCATGAACGATTTAAATGATATATTTTAGTGTATATTTTAGTGAATAACCTAAATATGAACTCAAATAAGTCTTACAGACTTGAAATAAGAAAATCATCATCATTGATCCTGCCCCCCTAAAGCTCTCTTAACAAATTAAAGTAAATAACTATTTTATTAAATAATTATAAAATGGCTTTATTATAATATAAATATATATTTTATTTTCTGTCTAGCAGTTTAAAGGCTACCTGCTCTTTCTGGGAAACTTCTACATAGCTCACTTGTTTTACCTTTTGTTCTTTTCAACACAATCTTTTTGGATTAAAATGCTTTTTTGAAAATTCATTCATCATCCAAAATAATGTCATTTATTAAGACCTAATCAAAACACCTTGTTTTGCTTTTTACATGGGAAATTTTTATATCTATAAATGTACATATATGTAAACCCTTTTTTAGCAGATTCAAACAAGAAGTATTAGCCTAAAGGTTGATGTTAACTCCTAGAATTTATGCTTATTGCTTTGTATTTAATAGACCTGTTCGTTTTTATGTTTATATTAACCTCTCATTTCCTCTTATTTCTCTCATGCATTTGTTATATGTTATTCATAATTCTCTCTTATTGTTTAAAAAGGAACTACAGTTTGTAGAGACTGTATTCTGTTTTATTTGTAAATGTTTTGTTGTTATAAATAAAAATAACAAAAAAAAAATATGATGACGCCATGTGATCGGTCATCATGACTGCAGCAACTTTGAGTCCCGAAGTGTCCAGCTGTCCGTCTTGACGGCTCCGTTTTCAACTCCGCCCCGCCTGCGCTCGGCTAATCTCGTTGATCACCGGCTGCAGCTGAGCTTCATGTCGAACGCACCTATGGAAATGTGCAGAACTTCAGTAAACTCTCTGTCCACTGATTTAACATTATCAAAGATAATATATGAAAATGTAAAATATTCAGGGTCCCCGCGGGGTCTTAAAAAGTATTAAAAAGTCTTAAATTAAAAAAATCAAAATTTATGGCTTTAAAAAGTCTTAAATTTGCTGTTCTAGGTCTTAAATATTTTTGCACAGGTCTTATTTTTGCGATGTCCGTGTAACGTTACATCTAATGCTTATTTAAATTCTTTTTGTTGTTGTTGCTAGATTTTTGGGGTGTTGTAGTTCTATATTTCACAAGTCCAATTGTAATTAGCGGTATTACAACTACAAAAAAGTCAACTTGCAATAGCCAATCAGCTTTCTGTTATTAAACTCAGTGCGCGCGGCGAATGTGACGTCATCGCTGAGTTTGCGGAAGTTCGCTTTGAGTGCGCGTGACATGATTTCGGCTGGCAGAGTATGCCGTTATTTCACTGACACATGTCGCAAGCGCAGTTTTATAAGTCGGGAGCGTTGTAATGCGATAGAGCGAAATTTAAATAACTTTATTTTACCCCTAATTTTGTGCTTTTACATTTTCTCTCGCGTGTTTTTGATATTGCGATATAGGTCTTAAATTTAATACTTAATGGTCTTAAAAAGGTCTTAAAAGGTCTTAAATTTGACATTATGATATCTGCAGCGACCCTGATATTGAATAATAAATATGTTGGTCTCTCTTTTGGGTCTTCACTGTAATTTTTCTACAGCTTACAATATGTTAGGAATATTAAGTGAAGTTTATTTGAAAACTAAATTTGTGAGGTTCACATGATTATGATTGAACACGGCTGGTTCTGCATTAAGTAATGTATGATTCACCAATCAGATGATTCCCAACTCACTATAAAGAGCCAGGGTTTCTTACTAGTTATATTCGCCTTAAAGAATCCCCCCTTCCACCCCTACTCTTCCACCTTTCCCTTCACAGAGTGATTAACACTGTTGCCTGACACCAAGAATGTCACTGGTTCTAGTCCTTAACAGGCCAGCTGTTGTTTCTGTGGGGAGTTTGCTTATTCTTTCTTGGTTCTCTGGTTTCCTCCCACATTCCAAAAACATGCATCATAGGTGAATTGATCCATCTAAATTAGCACTATAGTCAAGCTCTTAACCAGCAGTATATCTCTACAGTAGCAATTATATTCTGCCATCAGCTTAACAAAGGGGGAATTCTCGAGACCTATCTGAGCTCAAACTCCCCTTTCACTCTGCAAACGAGAGGGAGACCAGGGCTCAAGGATCTTATGAGCTCAGGGCTCTCTCCAAGGTCAGCATGCCAAATTCGCTTTATAATCAGTCATCAGCTAAGTGTAAACTCTTGAACACCTAATT